GAAATTAGTTTGATTGATTACATGTCGGTGATTTCGGAAACCGTTTAAAAGTTTTACTGTATTTTGTTTACTATTCACCTAGAAGAACTTTGCGTCCTTAACTGATTAGACACTGTCAAGCAGATGAAGACAGTTCTAATGTCGTCACTCCACTATGTAAGTAGCACATAAGAAATCTCGAAATAGAATGCATTCATATTCTTCTTATGCATCAAGGTTTCTTTTTTTATTACAATATAGAAATGATAACAGTCTGTGATGGACGATACTTGATGTTATTCTTCAAACGTCTTAGATTGTTCGTCTTGATATCCGTTACTCCGTATCACCCCAACGGTGTGCAAATCATGAAGCAAATACGAAGAGTTGATTGCGTTTGTCATTGAAACACATACAGATATCCAAAATTGCAGGCACCAAAGGCAAACATGAAACGGTAGCGCTCTATAGCAGATGAGTTAGCGTGCGAGTCGAATGAGCGAGCGAGTGATCAAGTCTATAAACGAGTCAGCGAGTAAGTGATTTCTGCTGACATAGTAAAAAACAGAGAACGTTCTCTAAAACGACCAGAATATCTCTTGAAGAATATCAACTTCATTTATGAATTCGAATTTGTTGAGACAGACATAGCGGGCAGACAATTTTAGTATTCAGGTGGAGATGTGAAACGTAGTAGATCAGTGAACACGTCAATGATATAATAAAGTGACTACCAACACATTGACTTTCTTTGGTCTTGTATGACTATGCTGCGTCAATTCAATAGTCACAATTTTATGTTCACTACAAAACAATATTCACTTTGTTGGTTCAATTTTCCTATCCTCTAGTCACTGTTTGGAAAGTTATTCACATTTATTTGATTCCCCGTTTCTTATACTGTGTTATTTATTTTCTATATCAACAGTGTAAATTTACGTTGTAGATAAAAACAGATAAAGTATAACAAAATGAATGGCATACTTGTTCTGACTTTGGCTAACAAAAGACTCTGTGCTCGACAGTTTAGAGAATAGTTAAGGATCACAGCTGTAGCAAATTCTTTCTTCCACGAAATGCTTAATGACGATAAAGTACATTTCAATTCTAACACAAAATACATTTGATGAAGAATGAAATATGTCTATCCAGAATATCGCCTAACCGTGAGTTAATCAATAACAGTGATTGGTATGGAGCGTGACACAAAACGTGATGTGGCATAGGTCATCAAAATGATTTTTCATGGCATCGTAGTCAATAAGGATGAGACATGTTTTAAGGTCCGGTCTGAAGGCATTGTGGTTACAGATGATACATCCGTGGCTCCATAAACTGAAATCTAGGTAAATCTATACGACAAATGATACTAGACTCATTCGAAATAAGATAGTAGATGATTTCAGTGTTTTCATTCATAGCTGAATCAAGATCTTCTTTGAATCGACGGACAAAGTATCCGTTTTCACTACATTTTGTCTGGGCAAAAGTAGTAGTCATATGTCAAATGAAAATTTCATTCAATTTTGTTCTCTCTGCGTCGATGATTATCAGTCATATGAATGTAATGATAGAGAGTGACATTCATTATAATTTCGAAAACTCTTATCATGCTCACTAAACAAAAGAAAATGTCATATAGTCTGATTATTCGGATAAAATCTGGTGATAAACAACAAGGAAGTACAATCTTACATATTTCAACAATGAAAAGAACTGAGGTCAACAGACAGATCACACCAAAACATTATGTACACTATTACTATCACTATTGTTACTTTTAGAAAAATAATTCTTATGTGAAAATACATAATAATTTGGAAGAAATCAAATAGATTTGATGGCTATATGTGATATTGAAACACGTTTTCCTGACTGAATCGTCAAGTCACTGTGGTTGATGTGAATAGTTTGAAGTGGACGAAAGGAGTAGGTGTTTTATTCCGGTCATATAAATATTGCTCATCATGAATAATTTGTCCTCGTTGGACAATATTTTCTACTTGATCATTACAATCATAACGTTTTGTCGTCAAACACATTGTGTCGAGTGAAGTAGATGTGTTAAAGAAGTCTATCTAGGTTTTCAATTACGTTTATTCTGTGTTCCGTCTATTCATAGGTGTTGCACAATTCAAGTCGGAACTTTGTTATATATATAACAACAACGGTTCGAAATGAGGAAAAGTGATTGTACTCTAAAATACAAGTTAATAACTTACACCGTATGCAGGCGAGTAAATGCGATCGCGTTCGCTGACCTCTCATCTCAGGTTGACTTACTTACTTCGAAGTAATCAGTGCATATAGAAACTGAATGATGCCGCATATACTACATTTGCAGAGATCCAATGTGTTCAGCTCAAGCCATATACCCTAATAATCCTGGCCCATCAGCCACGCTTAGTGTGGCCTATGAATAATTTGATTTCGCCATGCGAGCCGTTTGGCAACAGAACATTGCAAAAAGTTGGCAACCTCTCAAATTTTTCTCACGATGCCTCACCCTCTCAGAGACGAGTTATGGTGCTTTCAGTGGAGAACAGCTAGCATCCTACTATGCCGTCAAACATTTAATGCCCGCAGTAGAAGGTCAAAATTTCATCCTATTCACTGGCAATAAACCTTTGACGTGTGCTCTCCATACAAAATCCGACGGCTACTGACTATGAGAGTGCAGACATTTTGAACATATCTCACAGTCCATGACAAACCATCGGCACCTCGAAGGCGAGTTGACCTTTGCTGACGATAATATGCCACATAATCGAAGTGAATGCAGTTACTTCCCCGGTGCTTGATCTTCCTGCCGTGGCTGTTGTCCAAGCAGCTCTTCTGTACAGAAACACCACATTCTACATCACTCCAACGCCTCGAAGTACCTTCAACTTCTACCTTAAGTACTATGCTGTGTGATAACACAACTGCTGTTCCTCGACCCATTGTACCCTTTGATGTACTCTGTGTTCGTCTCGTCTTGAATAACAGCAGCAGATGTTAGCTTCTCAAAATCAACTGGTGGGAGCACTCTTGGGTAATCCATCAATTTAACAAGAGATTCCGGAATATGAAGGTATGGAGTCATATCTCAATCCAATCTCAGAATTCATTTTTGATGCAGACAGTGGTCACACTTCTGCAGCTCAGTTAGACAGAATTGAATATATTTTCAGAATGGAAAATTCGGCATACTATATGTAAAGAAGTCGGTCATAAGAACAGTCTGTGAAACTAAAAATAACTTGAGGTTTAAGTCAACGAAGTTTTCTCACGAGTATCAAAACAAGTTCATAAAGCGAGTATTGGGTACATTGGCTTCAGGCATAGGAGATAATAGAAGGTATGTGACTAAAAAGGTCAACAGGGCAGAAGAGCATTTGTAGAAGCATAAGAACTTGTTCCAGAATAAAAATGGATGCTGCACTTTAGTAAGGGCCAATTTTTTGTCCAAAACGTCGAGTTTCATATGCCACTATTGATGAAGTGGACAAAGAATAAGATTGACTGGAGAAATCGGTTTTATGCAAACAGTGAATTGTTCGACATGGGAAGCATCAACTATTGTTTGGCAAAAAGTGAACAGAACTATCTGACTATGCGCATACTTTTCCAAAGGATTAAATGACGCTATACAAAATCATTCATACAACCTTTTTGCCAGAAGGCTTTTTATTAAACTTAACGTTGGACGTTATCTTTCTAAACTTGATTTATCTGAAGTCTACTTACAAGTGGAAGTTGGCGAAGATGCAAAGGACTTACTAAACAACAATATTTACCGCGGATTTTAGCCGTCTAACCGATTACTGTTTGGCCTGTGTCCAGCTCCAACATAATAGATACTACGTTGTCCAACCTCAAAGGTGAAGCAATTTACTTGGATATTATTATAGTTGTCAATTCTTTTGCTGACGAACTGGTGGTAGCATATACAGCAAATCGATTACACCCTTCGGCCATTACAATATTTGCGAATGATTTTCAAATTCTATAGAAACCAGATGAAAATTTTGAACAAGATGAAGTTTTATCTCGACTAATTGCGAATGAGAAGCAGGGAAGCGAAGATTCTATCATTGCACCGATATCATTGGAGGGAGACATACATCTAATATTACAAGTTGCTATCAATCAACACCATTATTCGTTGAGGACATTAAACACAGTAATCTTGAAGACGTGGAGATGAAGCAGATTATTAAATATCACGAACATGGTGAGCCTACTCATATAGACAACAAAAACATTGAACAGTACGCTCATCGAGGAAATTCCCTATAGCCTGTGGACGAGTGCCTTATATTTGGAAGTCGAATAGTTCTACCTGTAAGCTCATATTGTGCTGTGATGTAAGAACTGCATACTGCAAAACAACGGCCAGCCCTGATGACGTTTCAAGTAGCACTGCTTAAAACCGAGAGAGAAGGCTCAATAGAAGATATATTTCAAAGATTTTTATTCACTCACCGTGCAACATCTAACCCAGCAACAAATAATCAAGAAGAAAGATTAGAAGAACAGTGGGACTGTACTGTACCGTTTTGTTTAATTGTACTAAAAACACACACGTTTCGCCTGTAAACGTTTACATGATCACGGTATTATTTCGATACCACCATATCACCAATAAATATATCCTTACTACAATCTACAACTGTCCTTCTAATATTTATCGTACTGTAAAATATATCCTATTAAATGACATGTAATTGGTCTGAAGTGATGATCATGTTCAAGTGTAACCCGACACTCTCACACAATATTTAAAGAGGGCAAGTGGCATATTCCGAACAATGTTTCACGTAAAATGTCAGCCTACGTCAATGAATTCTCACATGAGTGACTAAATATATCCATGTTTGAATTGTCAAAATAGAAATGTCAACCACCAATGGTATATTTTTGGGAATTATTATTAAGATGCATGTTTACGTTAATAGCTGGCTAACGTAACTCTGACACGCAAAATCCTTGTGAATGGAAATAATTCCACAGACTGCAACCAAAAATGTTTACAGTAGCTTCGAAATTTAATTGAAGGTGATGGTGATGATGATGATGATGATGATGATGATGATGATGATGATGAAGATGATGATGATGATGATGATGATGATGATGATGATGATGATGATGATGATGATGATGATGATGAATACTCCCGTTTCTACAGTGTTATATTAAATGAAATTGACAGGTCAATTATCGGATATCAATATGGTTAAGATAGAGTCAGAGACAGTAATGTAATTACAGTGTTCATGGAATTCTATGTCTCAGGTTAGAAAGTGCCGAAATAAATAATACCGTGTTAAAAATATCATGATTTGATCGGATTAGATAAACATGGAATGGATGTCTGTTTGAGGGTCTGTAAACAAGCGAATGTTAGAATATCTGAATTTCAACATGTTTGTCTATTATAGTGACTGTAGTACGCTCAGAACACTGATGCCAGCATCCACTATACAAATCATTTATTTTAAACATACCTGGTTTGTATGCCGGCAAAAGAGAACACATCATGAAATTAAACAGGAAATAACATTCGCTTAATGATATTTCCCAGCATTCACCTTTAACTTAATCCTTACTAGGTTATAACGGTGAGGGACACTGACGAGTTTTGAAGGCTTCATTTAGTGCGGGTGAATAGTCGGTACATGAATAAATGCGTGACCGAATTTGTCGCTTTTCAAAGTTAATGTGATTAGCCAGAAAATAATTTGCGAATCCAATAAACCAAAGCTACTGTATGGTGACCTTAAAACGGGTGAACAAAAAGATTAAGAGCCCTCACGGACGGTGTTTACTGTGAACTTGACACATTATTATCGGAAGGCATGTTTATAACAAATTGAACATTACATGTGTAATAAATCCACAACTAAGATTCTATTTTGGATGATGATTCGGATAGAGACGAATTGCGTTGCCTTTACTTGAGATTGGATTATATTGTCAGATAGTGATTCGCGTTCTCACGTTGCGATCATCAATTCCATGAAGGATTTGCATCGTTATTCCATCACTTCAACAACCGCTCTATTATAAACCTCGTAAGTGTTTGAAATCAGAGAGTGATGTGAAGCTGGTATTTTACTTCATTATCGGGTAGCTCAGATCTGATATCCAAGCGGTACGTTTGAACTTTGCGTTACAATTAGGCTGTATTTTTGTAATGTGTGAATAAATGTCGTTGAATCTCAGTTCATTATTTATTAATAACGTTCAAATTAAATGTTAAAGTAAAATGGTCCGACTGACAAATGAGCCTGGTAAAGCCCTATTTCTCCAAATAATAAGAATTCGTTTATAACCTATACCCCATGCTCTGCAACTCCTTTTGAAGTAGATAATAGTGGGAATGGACTTACTTTGCCTGTAAATTTTCTAGACTCTAGGATATTTTCCCATATACTATCCATAAGATAAAGTCTCCATCATTATTTGTTCGCTCCAGTGATACATACTGCATCTTTGAAAATGCATTGAATATTCTAGTGCTTGTAAGTGTATCTTACTCCACAAGTGTGATTAAAAGAACTTTGAATGTTTAACCACTTACTTGCTGTCAATTTACACTAACTCTGGCCCAAGCAATCTTAACTTATTTGAATAATATCTAACATGAACAGTGGTAAACCTGATAGACATATTTTGGTAATCATTGTTTTGTTGTTTCGTGCTCTCTGTTTTCATTTGACTTTCTCTAGTTGTAGATAATTATCAATCATTCGTCGTGGCCTTGAGAATAACCTTAAATAACACCGTTCATAAATCATCAGTCTATCCACTTAAGTAAAAAATAACAAGTTCCCTGTATTGGATTACCGTGATACATGTCACATAAATAAACTACATAAACAATTACTGAACTAGTAAACTGAAAACAATCTCCTGTGTCTCATGTTTGTTCTCTACATCTAATGTTGCTATATAGATCAAATTGATCATGCCTGTAAACTGGTGTGAATTGTGTAATAACTATTATTTATTTGAATAACAGTCAAATGTATGTGTCAAGAATATTGAGTAACGTTATGTTTATCTATCACAGTGATTGATATAGAACGTGACATAGAATGAGATGTGGACAATGTCATCAAGATGAATGATCACGGTCTCATAGTCAATAATTATGGGGCGTATTATTTAATAGAGTCTGAAAGTATCGTGATTGTCAATGATAGTTTCATAGATTGATAAACTGAAGACTTGAAATCAAGATAATTCTATTCGACCAGTATTACTGGACTAAATTGAATCAACATTGTAGGTGAATTTCATAGCTGAATAAAGACCTTCTATAATGTGATGAACGAACTATCTGTTTTCACTTCATTTTGTATTAAGAAAAGTAGTCACCATATGTCAAATGAAAATTTCATTCATTTTTTCATTTTGTATGTGTCAATGATTAACAGTCATATGAATGTATTAGTAGAGAGCGGCATTCCTCATTATAATGACAACTCATATCATGCTCATTATACAAAATAAAATATCATATCATAGATGAAATCTGATGATAAACAACGCGGAATCAGAATGAATGATATTTGAACAACAACAAAAACAACGGTCAAGGTTAACAGACAGATCACACTATCACATCATAGAAACTATTCTTATCATTATTTTTACTTTTAGAAAAATAGTTTCTTATGTGGCAACGTATATTAGATTGAAAGAAGCCAAATAGTAGTTGTGGTGATTATACGTGATATTGAAACACGTATTGGTAACTGAATCGTCAAGTGACTGTACTCAGTGTGAACAGTTTTGAGAGGATGAATGAAGCAGGCGTTCTTTTTTGCTTGAACATATACTGTTCATCGTCAGTCTGTCAGTCAGCTTCAGCGTAGAATCAGGCACATTTATGCGTCGGTATAAGTTGCCATACCTTGTTAGCACAACAAGATGAACAACGTATTCATAGATAAAGTTAATTTAGTGGTGGTAGTATATAAAAGATAGGTTGTATATAAGGAGGACTTGCAACATGATTCTGCGAAAGACATGTTGCTAAAAATGAGAGAGGTTATTTCCAACGAACTTTCGATGATAACCTTTTCAGACAACTTTTCATGTCTAAACTTCCTCATCAGGTGCAGGCAGTGCTCGCCTCATTTCCAAAAAAGGCCATAGATGAGCTGGCTGCATCTGCCGACCGAATCTTAGAAATCACTAAATCTTCGAAGGCCGAGGTCTTTTTCGTCATAGAAAGACCTCAAACGACCCCGAATGACATTACCGAAATATGTCATACACTGACACGCTATCTTAGGTTTCGTAATGACCGTAGTCGGTCAAAATTTTCACGTAGGAGCGTTTCACGTAAGAGATCTGTCTCTCGACCGCGAGAGACAGAAAACCCCGACTGGTGCTGGTATCATAACCAGTACGGTAAATCCTCTAGTAAATGCAGGAAGCCCTGCAATTACCCGAAGTCTAAGGCGACTGACACGAATAAGGTTTCGGGAAACTTCCAAGCCGGCACGCGTTGACGGCAACTGCAGCCGGCGAACACAGCCGTCTGTTATACGTCACAGATGTGACAACGAAAGTTCGCTACCTCGTCGACACTGGCGCAGAAGTTAGCGTTCTTCCAGCGAATTCCAACGACAGACTTCGCCAGTCTGTTTTAAGTTTACAGGCGGCAAACGGAAAACCGATCTAAAAGGTACGTCTACCTTAACGTGGGTTTACGCAAACCCATACACTGGATTTTCGTTGTTGCAGATGTCTCTATGCCAATCATTGCTATAGACCTGTTACAATATCACAATCTACTCATCGACACACACTCACGAAGGTTAATAGACGTAAACACTGAGTTATCTCTTTGCGTAACTCCTTGTTCTGGTTGCAGGTTATCCCCAGTCACGATTAAGCGCACCATAGACCCCTTGTACCAATCAGTACTCGACAAATACCACGAGATATACCAGTCGCAATCGAAATTGTCTTGTGTAACCAGCAATGTTACACATCACATCTCGACTACAGGACCACCTGTATTCTCGAAAGACCGTCGACTCGCTCCCGAAAAGCTTAGGTTAGCCAAAAACGAATTCGATCATATAATAAATTTGAGGATAATTCGACCATCAAATAGTCCATGGGCATCCCCATTGCACATGATCCCTAAAAAGGACAGCAATGATTGGCGGCTAACTGGTGATTATCGGTGTCTGAATGCTAAAACCATTCCTGATCGTTACCCGCTACCTCATATTCACGATTTGACAGCTACCTTGAAAGGCACAACTGTCTTTTCGAAAATCGACTTGGTTAAAGCTTATAACCAAATCCCGATGGCACCTGACGACATTCCTAAAACCGCCATCATCACTCCCTTCGGTCTTTACGAATTTCTACGAATGCCTTTTGGTTTAAGAAATGCGGCTCAAACATTCCAAAGGTTAACAGATGACGTCTTCCGAGGTCTCAACTTCGTACATGAGTATGTTGATGACTGTCTAATAGCAAGTCCGGACAGAGAATCACATCTCAAACATTTGGACATTGTTTTCGATCGACTCCAAAGGCATGGCATTACTGTAAACATTCAGAAATGCCAAATCGGAACCAACTCCTTAGACTTCTTAGGACACACTATTGATGCCCAAGGCATCCGACCACTTAGGAGCAAAGTGGCGGCCATTCTGGATTACCCAGTACCGACCACGATCAGGCAGTTACGAACTTTTAACGGACTCGTAAGTTTCTATAGACGGTTCATACCTAAATGCGCATCCCTAATAAAACCGTTAACCGATCAGCTTCGTGGAAATGCGAAATCAATTAGTTTAGACGACATAGCCCGTAAAGCATTCTCCACAGTTAAGGAACACATCGCTAAAGCAACCCTGCTTGCTCATCAGGACACTCAAGCGCCCATTATTATCGCAGACGCCTTGTCTCGAATAGGTTCCTTGAACAGTTTCCAAGGAATCGACCTTCTTAAACTCGCTCAGCTTCAAAAAAGAAGACATTGATTTTCAGCATGAGTTATCCTTGACAACTCTTAAACTAAGTATTAAGCAGATGGAAACAGGTAGGGAAATCTTACTTTGCGACACATCTACAGGTAGGGATCGTCCAATAGTACCAAAACATTATCGACGCAACAGGTTTTATCTTGAATTACCCTTTCATTGTTTATTATAAATTTTTTTTAATATGCTCATTTTTTATTTACAGAAAAATAAACCAAAGA